TTGTGCACAGTTCTGTGTTCAGTTCGACAACACAATATTTAAGAAAGTATGCAGACAAGGCGAGTTGACTATTTTAATAGTCGGTATTCACGGCATGTACTCGCTTCTTGTGATGTCTCTTAGTATATTTGATACTCCATTATCTATAATTTGTAGCTATGCTATGTAAAACAGATGAAACAGGAACTGACTTTCTGAGCATGTTCTTGTGTTTTCTTCTTGATATTCTGCAATGCAATGACTTGATAACTTTTCTTGGTGATATTATGGATGGCTCTCTATATCTAACCCTGTGTTTTACCCGTGAACGTAGCTGAAAATATCTCTTCTTTGTATACATTTAAGTATCATGAACTGATTTACTATATTAACTCGATTTGCATATGCATTATCGCTACATGTATCAGCTTCAGAACCAGGCAAAACTCTCGGGGATGTTTTTATATCAAATTTTTATATCAATTGTCCGATTACTGGGATTATTTTTCTCCCGAGGGAGGTTTTTTTTTGTCACATTACCGGTATTATTTTTCTCCCGAGGAAGCTTTACTGTCCTATTGCTAAGATTATTTGTCTCCGGAAAGAGGTTTTTAGTCCCCTTTCTCTGACTGTTTGTGTCCCGAAGGAGGTTTCGTGTCCCACTGCTGGAATTATTTGTCTCCTGAAGGAACTTTTCTGTCCTATTGCCGGCCTTATTTGTCTCCTGAAGGAGATTTGTTTTCCTCCAGGAATTATTTAAATCTTTAAAACGTTTTACGAAACGCCAAACACTGGTCTGGGCGCCACCAAGTTGCGTATAAAGTCATTCCACAATGGCCGCGAAACAAACACTTTGATTCATTGTTCATCCTTCTGGAAACTTTTCCATACAGATCTTAAAAATATTCTTTGAAAGACGTCCCTGGTTCTACTTACATAGAACGTAGGGCCGGTACAAGGATAGCACAAAGTACACACAAATGTGTAGTCTCCTTCGCAGCCGTTGTTTGGGCTCGTCACGCAAAGCTCCCTCCCCCACCAACCGGGTGCTTAAACCCGAGCCGCATTTCTTTCCCTGGTTTTAGCCAATCACGATTTCGCTTATATAATTCTGAGTAAGTCCCGCCAAGGCGAGTCGTCCAATCAAAACTCGCGTTCCATCAGCGGCTCATTGAGCAGAGAAAGTGGCATCTCGCAAGGAAGCTTTTGTTTCGACCGCTTCCAAATTAAAAATTCCTAGTTTAAATGATCACCAGAAGCTACCAATTGAGAAAATTCTTTTTGCAAAAAAAAGGATGCATTTGTAAACCTGCCTACAGGGTTTGGAAAATCCTTGATTTATCAGGCTCTTCCACTCGTGTGCGATCACATGAACAATCTTGCGGGGCATATCGTTGTTATTGTTTCTCCGCTCGTAAGTCTTATGGAGGATCAGGTCAATTACCGACAAAGTATTGGAGTCAGCGCGGTAAACGTTAGTTCTCAAGGAGAGATATACCGCCCTACTATTGAGTACGGAAAATATTCGTTAGTTTTCGGCTCACCAGAAGCGTGGCTCAAGAATGATCGTTGGCGATCGAAGGCTAGAAAATGATGTATACCGTGCGAGGTTATGTGCTGTGGCTATCGATGAAGCACATGTTATAAGACAGTGGTTAGTCAACAACCAATTCCTTACTTCTCTTAACGGGCCATTTTAGCCTCGTCTTATGTCATTTAAGTTTATATATTTTCCTTTTACAATTAAGTCGAGAGGTAAACAATAGGCATGTTTTCTCACTTTCTCGAGGGCATTTCCAAAGCAGATGTGATAGACGTAAGTTTAATTTTACTTCATGTTTTGCGTTCGAAATCTTGCGATTTATGTAGAGAAATATATTCGTAAGTCATAACAGACGATACTTTTAATGGTGAACTGTAATCTTGGAAATGTATGATCATATAGGTGTTATCGTGTTCACAGTCCTGTCAAAGAGCTCTTGTTCACCGACATTATTCTCCTCGTCCGTTCGCAGCAGTCTCTTTGCCCTGGGTTTTTCTCTTGTATTCAAGACCTCTTCTATTTCTCTCTTGATTTCTTTCAGTTTATCCGATGCCTTCTTAAACTTTATCAAAAGCTGGTGTCAGTTTATTTCTGCAAACAAACAATTTGCTGTTCTCTGCGTAGCGATGCAAGTCAATAGTGAGCGAAGAACGAATTAGTTCAGCAACATCAAATGAACTTTTACCGAAAATGTAAATTTTATCCTTTGTGAGTGAAATCCAGGAACAAATTGAAGCATCTTGAACTACTTTCTACCAATTTCTTCGGAGTTTCATCCATGGGAAATTTCTGAGATGACTGGCAACTTCTTCAGAAAGCGACGATGAATTTACGCGGGAAACTTACGTCATTGAAATTTGATTGTTTTTTTTATAGGTAATCACATGATTTCGAGTGCAATTTGGAATAAATAAGCACGAGTAAAGTTTTTCAAAGACTAACAAAATTGCATGAGCCCGTAGGGCGAGTGCAATTTGTGGTCTTTGAAAAAATTTACAAGTGCTTATTTATTCCAAATTGCACGAGAAAATCATGTGATTATCTATTAATAATATACATGAAAAAATACGAGGTAGCTTCTCATAACTACGCAGAAGAAAAGCGCGCGCATCACGTGCAAAAATAATTTATTCAAACCCTGCAAGTGACATTGACCTTGACATTGACCTTGACATTGACATTGACCAATCATTCTGACCAATCAGAATGTCTGGTTTGTTTCTTTCTTTGCACTAAATTATCTCTCTTCCGCACTGAATTAACTCTCTTCTGCACTGAATTAACTGAAAACTGCATTCATCTTAACCAATCAGAACTGAGAAATTTTTTCTTGTATATTATTAATTGTGAAATCAAAGGCGACGTGTGATTGGTGCAAACGCACATTATCACGTGCAATTACCGCGAAATCTAAGCAAAGGGAAAGGAATGCGGCTCGGGTTTAAGAGGCCGGTCGGTGGGGGAGGGAGCGTTGCGGGAGGAGCCCAAACAATGGCTGCGAAGGAGACTAACAAATGTGGCGCAAACATACAAACCAAAGGACACGACGTATCTTCGACGTTTCAGGCGATAGTAAGTCGAAAACTGACGAAGAATCACGTCGCTGCCGATGACTGATCGACGATTGCCGATTTGGCACGACGACCTCGCCGACTGTTGTCGATCGCCATCACCGACTATTTCAGATTAGTTCTTAGCTGATTAATATATTTTCGTCTTTGAACACCTGATAATTTTTTCAAGTATTTTATAAATACTTTCAAATATTTACAATAGCTTTCTTTCCTAAAGCTGCGAATTAAATAAATAATCGTGTCAATTAGTAATCAATTGACAAATGGTCAATCCATCAATCAAACGCCTAATCAGTAAAAACTTCATCACAACGCCTACTCACAATCTCCTAAGCTTGGTTAGGTTAGCAAATATCATTGGTGGTAAGTCTTCGATTTGATTGCTGGATAAAACCCTGTAAGATCACAAAACTTAGCGAGATACTGATAAAAAATAAAGCCGTAGTTTTAGTTTCAACGGAAAACAAACTATCCACGGATATTAATGGTGGAACAGAGAATTCTCTGAAGGGTAAATTAAAGTGCTAAGAGAAACCCATAAAAAACCCACTGGGCGTTAGCCCTAGTAAAGGGTATCAGGGAACCGCACGAGGTAAAGAAAAAATCCTTATGACCTTCGTGGGAATCGATTCCATGACCTCCGGATTAGATCTACCGTTGCTCTGCCTACTAAGCTACAAGGTCGGACAGATCGAGAAAGTCGGGGTCGATTAAGGTGGTGAATTGCGACGAAGAGAATTTTAGGGTACATGTCTAAATGTTGTGCGGCGGAGGTAGTGGGTTCGATTCCAACCGAGGTCATAAGAGTTTTTTCTTTACCTCGTGTGGTTCCCTAATACCCTTTACTAGGACTAACACCCAGTGGGTTTTTCATGGGTTTCACCTGGCACTTCAATTTACGCTTCCGAGTAAATTCTCTGTTCCACCATTTGTGTTCAAAGTGCTACGCGGTACAACATTTATATATGTATCCACGGATATTGCCGAAAGTTTTGTTTCTTACAGTGTTGTGAGCTTCGTTAGGTTGCAAAAGATTCCGTCTGGCAGTTTCTCCACTTTGTTATTAGAAAGATCCCTGAAAGATGCAGGGAAAATGAGTTAGAGGAATTTAAAACCACAGATATAAGTTTTGCTCCTTACAGTTTTGTGAGCTTCGTTAGGTTGCTAAAGATTCCTTCTGGCAGTTTCTCCACTTTGTTATTAGAGAGATCCCGGAAAGTTACAAAGAAAATGAGTTAGAAGTTTCAGAAACATCTTCAATCCACGGATGTAACTCCCATAAAAATAATAATAACAGAATAAGGAAAACAATAAAAAATACTCTAAAATCGCAGTGGATTTTGTTGTAGCCAACCCACACCTCTCCTCGATCTCTATCCAAACGAGTCCCGTCGGATCCTAAGTTAGATCCTAATACGTCATGGAACATAACTCGATGGAAGTATTTTATTTTCTGAAACTCGTAATAAAATAAATGTAAATACTGTCTATTGCATTTACTTGAAATAACAGAACCTACAGTTCATCCAAGTTCACCAAATCTTTTAAAATGTGCTTGGGCAGCACTCGGATCGCGTTCTCCTGCAGCCATCTGGGTGGAATTGTAAAAGTTTAGCTATTTTAAGTTACAGAAAATATTTTACGCAAAAGTGTCATTGTGGTGAAATTCCAACCTGAGCTCAGATACCCAATGCTCACCGAAATCTTATTCCTGTTAACGCTAAGTGGGAACGAGCTTTTCTTCCTTATTTAGATCAAGATATACAGCACTGCTCAAATTAATTTTTTTTACATCTGCGCTCGGCATTAACTTTCACCTAACTGGATCTGCTCCTTCAGTAAAATATCAAGTGTGACTACAGTTCAGAAAACAAACTAACGCGAAAATATTTCATAATCTCTTACACCTCTATTTTGGCATGTTAATACTTTGCACACTAATTCAAAACTAATCAATTAAGGTCTTACGGGAACGGCATAGACTTTTAATTATAATTGTAATTTTGCTCGTGGAAAGCTTGGTTTTTTAACCCACAGTTTTGATAAATCCCTCAAGCCATCAAACAATCCCTTTGGTAATTTTTCCAGATTGTTGATGTGAAGACGTCTGCATAAGAAGAGGAGTTCAAGAGGTGTCATCATGATAAAAATTTAGCAAACAATATCATATAAAAATGAGGAAACTTGCACCATGAATTTGGATTATAACATAAATCACGTAAAGCGCGCGCTATAATTGGTCAACTCAGTGTCTACTATTTGCTCACGGGGTACGCTGCTGACGTGAGCAAATGTTTCCAAGTAAGTTAATGTTTCGCAAGAAATTGTTTTTTATGTTAGAAAACAAATGGTAAACACGACAGCATACACAATTGAGTTATGGATGCACGCGGGAAGTGGCTGAGCACAAGAGAAAAGTAAGAGTCGCACAAGGCGATGGTCGAGAGTGACTCTAGCTTCTTGTGGTGTGGTGTGGTGTTTACCATTTGTTAACTAATGAACATCTATTTAACAGATTTCGACCAGTCCACCTCTGAAGATCAGTTTCCAAGAACTCAGCATACCTAACTTCATCAGTGATAAGTTACTTAAGATGTCTCTCTTTTAAATATCATTAAAAATCATGTAAATAGCTCCTTTATTTTACTTCGGCTCGTAATCAGTTCTTGTGCCCCCATATACTCAAGGGTTGTATAATCTACCCCTAGAAATCTTTATCGCTCTCCCTAAAATGTGTAGTATATTGCAAGCGCTTATTTATTTGGTAAGGAAAAACCCACTTTACTTACAACTGCTTAAGCTTTACTGACTGATTCAATAGAGTATGGTGCAACTCCTTCATTTTGTTATTGTTCAGGGATCTAGAAGAGTTAGAGAGTATGCAAAACAGTTGCATGAGGAAGTGTAATAAATCTGTTCACGTTTGTCTGTGCGGCTTAGTTAAAGGAAAAATTGGAAAGAGAAACCAGGAGAGAATGGAGCGAGCAAAGATCCCCAAACATGCTTCAAATAGGAGTTACTACTCTTATCTGCTCGGGACTGTCAATCTGTAAACCATATCTGTTATCATCCTCTCCTACTCCCTTTAAGATTGACGACACTCGGCCGTAAATTAAATATATTTTCGCTAATTAATGAAAACGAATCTCAGCAAATGGTGGGTAAATGTTAGCAAAACCCATATAATCTTTAGAAATAGAGTTCATTGATTATTTAATTTAAAACTTACAGATAGGTCAACTCGGTGTTGCTATTGAAGACTCCCTTCGGTAGATAAACTTCTATTCTAGAGTTTTGCAGCTTTTCGAACTACATAATTGTAAGGAAAGGCCGCAGACTGCGATAGGCTGCTTAGAATGATAAGTCAGATTAAACTGTCTAGCGACTGGTTTTAATGCATCCCTGTCATTCCTTTCTACTGTCGCGAAGGTGTTCTCGGAATCGGTCACCTGGTCGTGTTCCTGTTTCAGCAATGAATATCTTTTTGCAATAAGTGCAAGTTATGCAATAGATGACTTTGGCGGAGGTGCACGTGAAGTGATCAGTAATCTTAATTGATCGTGTGGGTCCCGATTCTTTCTAACTTTATGAATGAAAGGAAAAGTTTTGCATCGTGCGCGAGTGCATTTGAAACTTGCGGGCTGATCATTAGTTTGTAGTGAACTTCTGACCAAAAAGTTGCCTATGTTTTTAAAGCTTTTGAATGAAATAAGCGGAGGTTGTGAAAAGATAGTACCGGTCTCTGAATCGTTTTGAAGTTATTTAAAGTTTTTAAGAATGATTGATTTAACTGCGTGGTTGTGAGGGTGAAATGTAAGAGTAAATAGAATGCGGTCAGTAGTTTCCTTATG